TCTTCAGTTACATCAATCTCTTCCTTCCTCAGACGGATGTCAAATGAGGACGCTTCGATCGCGAAGTCAACTTGATCCTGAAAAGATTTTTGTGAACGGGTGTTACCATCTTATGTTTTTTTCAGTTGTTTATGTTCTCTATTTATTTCATGTTTTTCCGTTTTTTTGCAATCGAATTCTACTTCCGGGGTTCTTGAATTGCTTTTTGTTCAAATATTTTTGGATTGTTCGTTTGTTCTTCGGGATGGAACGATTTAATGATGATTACATTCCGATCGTCAAATTCATTATTTCAAATTTTATGGTATGATGTGTGAGCTGTAGTTTTGCAATCTAAACTTTGCAACTACCGCTCTGTTTGTATGAAACTGCAAAATGGACACCTGTTCTCTTTGTTGGTCGATGATGACCTTCTCCATCTCCTTTTCATCTACAAAGTAATTTAACATTAATCCTTAAGAGTGACATAAGTTTTTTAGGCAACAATTGCAGCACGTTGTTTGGTATTTGTCGCCACGCTGTTCTATTTCCCATGCATCAAGCGAATCGCTTGAATGGGTCCTCAGTTATACCACTAAGCGAGTTCACGTAAGAAAATCCGTATATTGTCCAAAATTCAAAATGCTCCCATAAAATGAGCAACCTCTGTTTGCTTTTGACATTTGACGCTTAGTTGAAGTAGATCATATTGACGTGAGCAGATAAGTAATGAGGAAATATGCATCTTCACTCAATGGCGGAAATAACAGCAAGATAAAAAATCACATTATGAATGCGTGGAAAAGAAGTCGATAGGAAAAACACGTTTTGTTGCTTCATCGAAATGCATAACGGTCCCTTAAGCTGGAGATAACGCTTCAACTAAAGTGCATGATCGTGAGCATGGTTACGTTTGCTCAAAGCTGATACAACAGCATGCAGGTCGAACAATCACAAAAGCGTTTTTGTTTGCAGCATGTCACGCCGAAGCAAACAATTATCTTGCATGCAGCTAGAGTTTCATGGAATTGGAGATAAATCTGAGCATTGGATTTCTCGAACCATTGAGCGCCCGTTGATTTAGAAAAGATTACAAGCAATTGATTTGATCTTTCATTTCCAATATTGCTTGAGGAGTTTTTAAGTAATAATCTTTTTCGTTACTGAAGATGTTGAACAAACTGATACAATGCGTCTAATTCATCCCTCAAAGTTTGACACTACAGGAAGCATAGCCCACGACTCTGATAAACTGAGCATCTCATATTACGAAGCATTATAAATAAATAATGCACTTCTAGGCAGATACTTTAGTAATTTGCGTACATGATTTACAAACCACTAACTTCCGTCAACAACGAAATTGATCTCGGCCGAATCACTGCCGGCTTCATTTGATGCAACGAATGTCATAATTCCAGCGTCCTCTAAACTTACTGGCTCAATAATAATCGCAAAACTGAACAGAAATCTATGCCTTGTTACTGCAATATGCATTCGCCTATGTTCTTCCAGATATTTGTCGCCCAAATAGATGGATATCTGAAAAACTGATAAGCATACATCTCTTTCAAGCTTAACAACTCAAACACACATACTGACTACGAGGCACCACATCAGTCAAACATTTGTTTTGCTTTCTGATTAGAAGATTTCGATAATTACACAATATGAAGTAAACAAAATTACACAGCAATCGTAAATATGAAAATCCGTTCTGTTTCAGTAATTTGACGGAGAATATAAAAGTTATCGCATCCGGGAAATACGTTTTTGCCGGTATTTGGCAATACTATGGGTTTACAACACATATGGAAATCATACATGAGGCACAGGATTGGCCATTATTTTGACTTCAATTACTGCAGTGCTGTTTTCTTGCGCATGAACGGTTTGATGTCTCTTCATAAACGATGGTGCAATTTGAGAGTTAGTTTCAGCTGAAGTCTCCAAATGATCTATGCTCCGTTGAAATCCATATTTTCGTATGAGTGCTGAACAAAGCTTCAGTGAATGATTGTTTTTCCGATTGTCAACCGAATAGTCATGCATTAAAACGATCTTTTGTGCCTCTCCATGTTTTTGTTTGGTAATTGTTTCGATACCATTTTCCTTACAGTGATACCTCGCATTTTGGAATAATGGAAAAATCAATGTACAAAGGGTGAATATTTCGTTCGGTAACCACTGAAAGTAGCGGAATTATTCATCAGCATCCAACGTGAGACGTGTAATAAACAGGTCGCTCTTTCCCTTATTTCAATTGATTTTGGATGGGTTGCCTGTGCGGCCGGAATACACGACTGGTTTCCTTGCAACTGCTCAACAGCAGCATTAAACGAGAGCAAAATGTTGCTCTTCGCAAAGGAGACAACAGGCGTGAACAGGGAATAACCATGAAACATTGACAAGTGCTTCTAAAATAGCATTAATCGAAGAAAGCTTTTGTTTCCATCACCTAACTCATGCTTATGGAATGGCTTCGTAATCATGCTTTATTTTAACGAATCTAATACCGATCCTCGAATAAACATCAGTCTTCACTGCCGCCTAAAAAAATTTTGCCATGAGAATTACAATTCTAGGATCCGTCCAAAGGAATTTTTGAACATAAACCACGGTGTGCGGTTAAGTACGTTCCGAAACTAATGCATTTTGGAAAAACTGATTCTGTCTCGCTAATAACTCGAAAAATTCTCAATCTCAGAAAACTTCTTGAAATTAATAGCTGCCTAGAGGCAAAACCTTGATAATGAATAGTTTGGCAGTCAAGACATGAGTTCAGCATCTAGAGGTTACTGTCACTAATGCATCGCGGATTGCATGCGGCGTTGTTGAGTTCTTACACAGTATCATGCAGCGCTGGAGTTAAGCAGGTAAAAACCTCCTTCTTGATAGTGTTGTACAAACAGCGTAGCGACAACAACGTGATCGTAAATGACAGAGTTATTATGAGAAAACAACTACAAACCTCTTGTCTTGGTCTTTTTCGCGAGTGCTTCTGAAATTGAATCAGCTATGAATATCTAAATTTTCTCGACAGCATCAATAATAAAACGCCTGGCTTATTTACTATTAGAAAAAACATATCGTAATCTTACAAACCCCACTACAGAACATGATATCATGCAAGATTTTCATGTGCTGCTGAAAATGCAGCAAAAATCATCAACATTAAGACTTGCCGACAGCAATGATTGTGAACTATTAAGCAAGGAATTTGATCAGCTATGCTTTTTGCAAAAGCATGAGGAGGAAAGATCGGCAAGTCTGCATGTTTAAGCGGTTTGGCGTTTTATAATAACTGTTCATATTGAATAACAACATACCACTATTTTGGAAAATTGTTTGAGTGACAGAAGTTGCGTTTTTCTCGTCAATTTTTGTTTGCGTGGATTCCAATTCCCCACTCCATTTTAATACAGCATCTAAAATACGTAAGAATTTTCATAAATTTCGTTTTCTGCTCCTCAATATCGCGCGGTTAAAAACCTCAGGTAGTAAGACAAAACTTTCAATATCGCTTTGAAATCATCTTCATGTCAAACCTTCAACCCGATACATATCAGATTATGCAAAAAAACCATCACTGAACGTTCGAAATTGAAAAATTACATTCACACAGCAGTGGTTTTTTTCAAACTGCTGGTTTGAAAACGTATTGATTTTATTAATTTTATGAAGCATTTTACCCATATCTGTATATTTCTCGATGAATTCACGTTCGACTTTCGCCAACTTCAGATGCAATTGCTGCATTTCTGCCCTTGTGCTCACAGCTAACTTCACCTCAGCATCTGCCTCTAATACACGTAATTTCACCTCCTCGATCAATCGACTTACGGCAGCCACTGCCGTTGGCATCTGCACAGCCAAATCGATCAACTGTAACTTGTTATCATCACTGTACCGAAACGGTCTTCGACAAATTCAATCAAGTACTACATTTATTTTCGAGTTCGAAGTTGATTTCAATTTCGTGTTTTGAGTGCGACTATTCTCTTGCCGTCGTATCCGTTCAAACGTTATCGAAACTATGAATTTTGTAATCGTGAATCACGCGTCCTATTGCACCAAACGATTTTTTATGAAATGCAGCTGGCTGACCTGTGTATAGAATATTGGACCCACTGCCTCGATATCTTCTTCTTCCATAATCGCTTCCATGGAAACATCCACATCCAGAACATCTGAACTGAATTCAGGGATTTCAAGTGATGCTTCGTCGAAATTATCGGTCATCATATCCACTATGACTTCAGTGTTCGCTACCTCTTGACCAGCTTCGATCTCTAATTCGACGACAACGCCTGCAGCTGGATTACGGGTAACCGTCTTATTTCAGCAGTCATTATAAAAGCATTGCAGACGTGATTCTGCTGCTGGTAATCGTCGATTATGGAAAGAACTCCAATTTCTTCTTTAGTTATGTTAAGAATTATCGTAAAAAGTTGAGCTACCGTTATACAAATGATGTATGAGAAGAAGCTAGCGTAAAAATTGGGAAACACTTTCGGTGCCGAACTCACCTGCAGACCACAAAACTTTTCAAACATTCTTGTTCAGTTCTTGTTTAAATTCATAAATAATACTTTTTTTCAGAAACTCACGTAAATGACCGCCACTCAACTGCAAAACTACGACTGCCAGCCGCAATTTGCATGAATAATAGCAACCGCAAAAAATGAGTTCAAACAAATTCAGACATCCCTACCAGTCGGCGAACGATCACGTATGGTTCGATCAGGAACAGTCAGCATTATCGTTGGCGCAATCTCGCAAATCGAAACATCCACATATGCTTGCACTTGTTGCGGTAACAGTGAAGACGCATATTCCTCGCACGGAACTCGAGCAATACAGCACTCCTTCTCAAATGCTTCAAAACCCATCGGAAAAACGCCGACAGTACAACGCATACGTGAAGAGTAGGGTAAAACAATAGAGATGTCACAAACTGATTGAATCTTAACGACCTCCTCGACCAGATCAATCTGCTCTATAGGTAGCTCGGAATTGAATATGGCCCCAACTCCAATCTTTTGCGTTCTCTGTTTCGTGAAATGAAAATCAGCCGAAATCAGTTCAACACTACGAACTTCCTCTAAGGAACACAGCACCACTTCGGTCAAGAAAAGACCAATCGTCAGTTCGGCTCCGCTCAGTCCATAATCGCGCTGTGCAACCAATTCCACATGTGCTTCTTCGTATGGTTTCCTTGATATCGCGTGTTTCACCGCTTCTGAAACGGTCATAACAATTGCGACCTCAACAC